CAACTCTACTCACATACGACACCGAGTCGGGGAATCAAAACCGGTCGCCTTACCTCACCGCTACGCCACCCGTGCTTCCCGTTGTACGGTTCTTCACGTACAACGACTGAAACTTCAAAAAACCTTTTGGCTTACTGTGTGTTGTTGATTGTTGTTTAGATGAGGACGAACCATTAGAACTACATCAGGATAACGAGAGAGATGATATCAGTGTTAGTAGTTTATCTATGGTGAAGTTTGAGCCATCAGACCCTTCTCATCCACAAAGTAAGTAGCATTACCACCATTATTACKACATCGACGTCATCATTATCATCGACGTCATCATCAGTGAACGTCACCACCATGATCGACGTCATCATCGTCATTCTCATCAGTGTACGTCATCATAGACGTCATCATCATGCATTACTCTCATCGTTGTACGTCACCACCATCATCGACGTCATCATTCTCATCAGTGTACGTCATCATCATCATCGACGTCATCATCATCATCACTCTCATCAGTGTACGTCACCACCATGATGGACGTCATCATCATCATCATACATCAATCTCATCAGTATACGTCACCACCATGATGGACGTCATCATCATCATCGACGTCATCATCATCATGCATCACTGTCAGCGTTGTATGTCACCACTATCATCGACGTCACCATCATTCTCATCAGTATACGTCATCATCATCATGCATCACTCTCATCAGTATACGTCGTCATCATCATACATCAATCTCATCAGTGTACGTCACCACCATGATYGACGTCATCATCATCATGCATCACCGCTCATCAGTATACATGTCAAGTACCACCGCTGGTTATCATCGAGTGTCTTCTACACCTCAGCACGATCATCACCATTGCCTTCATAATCTTTCTTTCTTCCTTCCAGAAACAACATCGGAACAGATCTTCACGTCTTTACTCATCAAGTGTGTAGTACAGTTAGAACTCATCCAGACAATCGATAACGTGGTGTTCTTTCCTGCTACCAGTCGAAAAGAAGACGCTGAAAACTGGGCAGCTGCTAAGGTAAATACAGCTAAATACCCGTTTATACTAGCATTTTTGTAGTGCGTCTTAAGCGGAAYTTTCATTGGCGATTTTACGGTACCAGATCGCAGCCAATTCGCCGCAAATTCGACCATAGTTACTTTCAAGTGAAAATCGCCGAGCATGTTTGAATTTGCAACGACTTGGCTGCGATCCGACGTCGTAAAATCTGCGTTTACACGTGCGATTGGGGGTGCAGAATAGATAGAATCGCCGATCAAGTCGCACGACAAGATTGCCAGTGTAAACGGGCCTTCGTAGGGTTCTTAAGTAAAGATAATTAAGGTTCACTGAATTTTTTGTAAATGCCATTCTAGTGTGACAGTTTCTCTCGTGGTCGGGGAGACAGCTCCATTCCTCATGATGTTGGGATGTTTCAGTTCTTAAGCTCCAAGCAGCTTTTCTCGTTCGTCAAGTGCCTGGAAGACTCGCACCGATTCGCYATGTCTTTTAATTCAAACGACGAGCAACGGACGTTTCTAATGAAATCAGGTTAGAAAACGATGATGTCGTTGGGCGTTACGTTTTTCCATTTCAGACCAAGTTTCATTCTAATCTCGAGATTCATGTGTCTTCTCATGCGCAACCGCTAAACAAAGAAATAATACTCTAGGGAATGACACGTGGTCTGTAATGGAAAAACTTTAMGTGTTCAGCTTGCCATCAATATGGGAGAATGATGCAACGAACATATAACGAATTAAAAAGATCCCTAGATTTTTTATTTGTTAAATAACAGTGGCATAACAGTACGCATTGTTTTAAATAAAATAATATTGAAAGGCAGCGTGATGTTTGGCTCTYGCGTAGAGTGGYCTTGAAGGTATCCTGATACCCAGCCCTAAAGTGAGTCAGGATGGCATGGTGATAAAACTCTCGCCCCTCACCTCTRAGGTCCCAGGTTCAAATCCCAGTCACCCCAYGTGAGCACACATGAAACACAAYTTCCTCCCTTGGAAGTATAGTGTAGAAAGGTCATTTATTTATCATGTTTCTATATTAGGTTTTAAAGGCAAATCAAAACCAAATCTACTGAAGCAAGAGACATCCAGTTTAGCATGTCTTCTTAGGATCTTATTTCGAATGTACTTGGATGAAAATAGAAAAGATGCTTGGCCYGAAGTAGAAGCAATGATAATCAGGTATGTCAGAATGCCATAATTATTAGCCATAGGAGAAAAACTTGGTCGAGTTGGCATTGCAGTGCATTTTGGGTATGTCTTGGGGGGGGGGGGGGGGGAAAATTGCCACCATCTTGGGAATGTCACCTGAAAANCATAATTATTAGCCATAGGAGAAAAACTTGGTCGAGTTGGCAGGGCAGTGCTTTTTGGGGGGGGGGGGGGGGGGGGGGGGGGGAGAAATTGCCACCATCTTGGGAATGTCACCTGAAAACAGCCCCAAAATGCATTACAATGCAAACAGGACCCACTTTTTTTCCTCATCCTTGGAATGGCATATAGTCATGGACCTCTGGGTGACGATGTATGAGGAAATTGTTTCACTTTGCTGAAATACTTGTCTTCTTTTTGGTTCCTGTCAATTAAAGGTTTATTAACTCAGATCATAAATTCGATTGACGAAAGACAAATTATGACTAAATGTTCATCTCCTCATTTTACGAGGAAAGCACCTGTGGTTCGCGTCCCATAATTGAATTGGAAATTGATTTTTGCAGAGGAAAGAAACCTTGAGCAAAACCCTCAAAGCACAGGAGAGCTAACAAGCTACTCTACTCACATGACAAGTCCTAGRATCGAACACGTCACACTTACCACTAGAGTGATGTGAGGCAGCACATTAGTGTCTATTAGGAGCTCCACCTTTAGCAGTGCCTAAATCTTCCCTTTGGAGTTGTCTGGATTCATAGAAGAAAAAAGTGCTGATCATATATTTGAGAGCAAGGGCTAAGGGCGTTCGCAATACCTTTTCTGAGTGTCATGGAATTTACTAACTGTGTATATCAATATTGCTTTTAGACTCTGTCGTGAATCACTATCATATTACTTGTCTCTCGAGTCATCTAGTCATCGTGAAGCTTGGAGTTCTCTTTTACTACTCTTCTTAAACCGCATATTAAGACTTCAAGACGACAGGGTAAGCAGGARAAAAAACACATTTCTACTACCACCCAGGGGTAATACTGTTTGAAAAGAGGTTGTTGTGTTGTGTTGGCATGAATAACCATGGGATGGAGAGGGCAGGATTAGATGTAATGAAATGGTTGTTTACAAGAACCGTGGAACACCCTCAAAAAAATGTTTGTTTTGGGCTGTTGGGAATAAGATTAGAAAAAGGACTTGAATATATGTATATATGTAAATAGCAAAATATATAATATATCGCCTATGCCTCGTGTTCCTAAGCTTGCTTCTCTCATGCTCTACAGCTTCCACTGAGTGTGATTATCCACACGCATTTTAGATCACTTCAATAGACCTAAATAAAAAAGTGAGACTAAACCCCCTAGCGTCTTCTCCACACAGTCCATGCTTTATGTAAACATTGCTCTTCTTCCAGTTTAAGGTCCATCTGAAGTCTTACTACCCATTGTTATGTGACCTGATGTTACTGGACATGAAGATTGAACTGAGAACTGTACTCCGTACCATGTTCCAGAGAATAGGACCAGTGTTTGGTATCTGTGACTCAGAACACTCCAGTTAACCGATTAACTATCAATCAATAATGGTATCGTAATTAATTGATTTATCAATCTATGTAAGACCCCACCTTGCACCCACCTTGCCCCCCTGAGTTCCAAATTGTCATTGGTTGAACAAGGCTCTGAATTAGCAATTCTTACAAAAGCTGTTCCAAACGGGAAAGAAAATGCAACAATTAGATTTTTCTGTCGGCTCGTCAGGGAGTTGTTTTACATGTTTTACATAGATTGATATAAGGTGAACAGACGTGTTGGWAACCATGGTGATTTGTGAAATAGAATGGCCGATTTTTTTAAATCATCGCCTTTAGGATTATAGAGGGTTTACTTCACTGATTGGTTGAGCAATGCAACCGAGACAGATTARCGAGTATTGAATTATGCCATGTTGCCAAGTCCCTTATAGAGCATTTGGGATACCTGTGGTACGATGATAAATTATAAATCCAGCAGCAGACAGGAGCATCGCTGCATTGTAGTTACTCCTTTTCTTATAACAATAAAACAAGCACTTGCAATAATTCTTGGTAATCAAGGTAATCAAGCAAATACACAYGATCTTGTCATTGATTCCAAGGTCATGAACAATATTATATCATGGTCCCAACCGTTGCTATGTCACACAAATTAGCTCAGAATATAAAGCTTCGATTGTGGAAAATTTACCATAAATGGTTTCAGTTGTTTACCGTCCCGTGAAAATCAAATCAATTTACCTCGGAATCCTTGTAGTACTCTTGTCTTGTAAAGCAACATTTGAATTTAATTCTACTGGAAAACTGCTGCAACAGTGATTGTTTGCTATTGARCAAGTAGGAACTATGAATTCTCTACTTTCGCATACTCCATAATGCTTTGCGCCTTGGGATAAACAATCAAAAAAATTATCCAAAAATGAAATGTTCTTCAATTGACTGTACACTATACCTACTTTTATCTGTACAAAACTATTTAAAATTTTTCATTTTATATTTGGATATCAAACGAGGTATTTTCAGGATTGTCTGATCAGCCTTCATCACTGCATAAGTGCGTTTTTACCCCCAAAGCTGCAAAGTATTATGGGTGTGCAACAGAAGAGAATATCATTACAACTCACTAATAATTACAAAAAATTATCTGACCCAATAATCCTTTGCGAACAGCAATAAACTGCACACTATGAATTGTGGGTTCATTCAATAATGCATGCTTATTCGTTACATTGATAGTCTTTTTAAAAGCAACTCACTCCAAATGACAGGCTGTTAAACCAAAGGTTGTATGGCCCATTACCGTAGAGAATATTCATTTGTAAATTGAAAAGAACTAAATAAACAAGACCAAGATAGTTGTGGTTTATTGAACTGAAATAGTCACAATAAAGGAACTAACAACAGAGAACTTTTAAGTGTAAAAAACRWCTTCCTGGTCCAAAACAAAAAGCAATTCCCGTTTYTATTAAAGATTTTTTTTTCATGACATTTTTTTTGGTCCAAAGTTTCAGGTGGAGGTTGATTTATTTGCTTGATTTTCAGTTGGTTTTGTAAGCAGCTGGACCCGGAAATATGAAACAACTTAAAGGTTCTATTGGATACAATTGAATGGCCAATGATTGGTTGCCAGATGTGGAACTCAATTTCCTGAGCAGGGTTTTCTAACACCAGTAACCAATCAATGGACATTTGAGAATGACGTTTACTTTCCAAAGAATTTATGTGAAGAATTTATACAGAAAGGGATTATGGGATTGAATGAGGGGAATGCAAAGTCGCTGGATGACAGTCAGATTACTTGTTGACAGCATTAAGTCATAATAAGCTCATTTCATTACGTAAATTTAAAAGTAAAAAATTGCGAATATAGGTTTTGCACCATCACATGCTGGCGCCCATGATAGTAGAATTGCTTTTCATAGATTTCGAGTGCATGTTGAGACAAAGTCAAATAACTAGCCTTATTCTACAGTAAGTACAAAAGATTGATCCAAAAATCCTATGTACGAGAAGACAAGTTATGTACCTTGCTCTACTCCACCCCTCCCCTTCTCACTCCTTACTGTGGAGGGGAGGGGTGGGGAGAGTGGATGGATTGTGATAAGACTCTACCGTCAAGTTTAGTTTGGTAGAAAAGGTAAACAAATTTAGTCACCTCCCTTCCCATTTGTCTATTTACTAAAGTGCTCAAGGGGTCGGGTGGTGGAGGAGAGGATGGATAGTGATAGGACTTGGGTATATAAGGGTTTGGGTGGTGGTGGGGGAAGGGGTCGATAGCATTCTAAAGTCTAGTTTCAGTCTAGTTTAGTCTGGTAGGAAAGGTACATGTGGCCTTCCTTTAAACAGACTAGTCACCACTGCTGGATCATAGATAGTAGACAAGTCACCTGTCTCATGATCATTCTTGGCTACCTTACGTAGAATGCGTCTCATAATCTTGCCTGATCTGGTCTTTGGTAGGATTGGTGCATTTTGAATGACATCAGGTGCAGCAAATGGACCGATCTTCAGACGAACTATAAAATACCAAAGGAATCATCTTTCTCTTACTATAAAGTTTTCAAATTTCACCCTTTTAATTTTAACTGGTGGAGGTTATGCTCGGTACTCGCCACTGGTACTTCCCTAGTTTGGAGCCTAGCTCTATTGTGATTGTCCCACGCTGTGATACAACAGCTAAAGCCCCTGGTACATTTGCCTTGCACCTTGCTTTTGCTTGCTCTTTATTCACRCTTATCTAGATCCAAGACATGGTCGTACAACAAGAGTGGTTCTGTGTGAAAGCAGAGGTAATAAGATTCTTACCTTTTTGCTTCAGTTCTTTAATAAGTTCTTCACTCATCTCTGCATCCTATGAGGACAAAATATCAAGACTTAGACCAAATTGACACAACACTCAAAGTACTAAACTAAAACGCTATAGGGAATTCTGTGTGGGTGAGAGCACTTGTGTGTTTCTCTTTAGCATGGTTTTCACTTGTGATGGAATCGGAGTTGGAAGAAGCTTATGATTAAGTCAAACCAGGAAATAAAGTAGGGATTGGAATCGAGCACAACAGAATCGGAATCGGAAAGTTTACTTTGCCTTGGCTTACAATAGACCATTTGCAGGACATTTTCACATGACTGTTACTGGACAGCAAAAAATTCACTCTTCCTTCATTTAAAGAACTTTTGCTGGATTATTAATGTCATACAGTCAATTCAAAAAACGTTGTTGTCGACCGGCTCAAGCCTACGTGATTGGACCGAAAGGAATATGGGTAAAAATCACTGAAGCGGTTAAATATTCGTTCTGAATTAATTGTTCCCGCTAGTAAAGAGATAAAAATGGCGAGAAACAATCCATCAAATGCATGTCTTTGCGTTTAGGAAAAGAAAAACAAAGTAGTTATGATTCAGTTCACAATTTCGAAAATATGAAGGCATTDAAAAAACGTCTCCTTCAACACTACCCGCTCGCCTACGAAGGTTCGTGCTGTAAACCAGGCATAACTAGTCAGGCTTCAATGATTGCTACCCAGAGTTCCTTTCGGTTCAGTCGCGTAGGCTTGAGTTGGTCGACGACAACGTTTTTTGAATTGACTGTATGCTTGAGATTTCAAGATACAAAGAATTTTAAAGTTGACCAGAGCTTTTMCCAAGGGACCTTTGGCTGAATTGATTCGTTATCAAAGTGATATATCAGCATGGGACTGTTTAATGCATAATAATGGCCTATTACATTGCATGAACTGCTTCTGATTTCGATCTCCATCACAAGTTAAGAATCCAGCATTAGAAAAACGTTAGTCATAGACATACCTCCATTAGCGACACAAAACAGTAGATTCCTTCGCCYTTTTCTTTATGAGGACATGAAACCTGGATGAAACAATCCATGGCCAGCAGTAAGTAACTTAGAGGTACATTATTGGACAAGAGATCAAGCCAATAGGATTTATATATTTATTTGGGGATGAAAATGTGGGGTAACTATTCTCACTGAATAAATTATCAATAAGCAGTATAAATTAAGACACATTGCTCATTGCATAACGTCGTTTGGAGCTTTGGAAAAGAATTTTGCCCCACCCACCCACCCCTAAGCCTGGTGGCAGTGGTGTTCTCGTTTTCCCTATTCTCGCTGTTTGCCTCATCATCGCAGATCTCACCCCATAACTTAATCACACTGCAATGTGATAAAGGCTTCAGTGAGAATATATTACTAATCTAACAGTGACTGCATAGACATAGGGATTTGATAGAATGATGATATTCAGCTGCGTATCCAGTGACGGTATGGTAATGAAAAATGAATAATGGATCAGAATGATGTGGTCAATTGAACCTACCACAGCCGCTTCACTGACATCATYGTGTTCAACAAGTGCGCTCTCAATCTGAGCAGTGGACAAGAGGTGACCAGATACATTCATGCAGTCATCTGTACGTCCTGTCACCCAGAACATCCCGTTGTTATCTCGCTTACATCCTAACACAACAGAAGAACATATACTTTTAACATTAAGATTTTCGAATAATAAGAAATTTAGATGTGTTAGTTGGTACCAATTATACAGGCAAAAAAGATGATGATGATAGTGAAGATGATGATGATGATAATGGTGGTGATGATGGTGGTGATGATGATAGTGATGATGATGATGGTGAAAGTGATGGTAGTGATGATGATGATGATGATGATGGTGGTGATGATGATGAAAGTGATGGTAGTGATGATGATGGTGGTGGTGATGATGATGATAGTGATGATGAGAAAAGTGATGATAATGATGATGATGATGGTGAAGAAGATGATGATGATAGTAATGATGGTGATTATGATCAGGGGCGGATCCAATGAATCTGTCCCTGATTGGGGGGTTCAGGCATTATTATTAGGTAAGAATTCCTTTGGGGGAGGGGGTGGTAACGTGAACCCTGTGACCACCACCTGGATGCACCAATGATGATCTTTATGATGTTAGCGATGATGATGATTGGCTATTATACAGTGTATATCTTACTCACCATCACCGGTCAGATAATAGCCTTTAAACTTGGAAAAGTAGACATTTTCAAATCTTTGGTGATCGTTGTAGATTGTACGRGCCATGCCAGGCCATGGACGCTTGAATGCCTGGAAAGATGTACAAACATCAATCAACCATTGTGTCAATCAATCAATCAACACCATTAATTTGATTGAAATAATTATCATACATAGCTTTTAAAATMAAGCTACTGTACAATACCTGCTATACAGCCATACCCTGACTAACTAGATCAGCCCAGAGGTTATTTCAGGGTCCATCAATCAGTGAGTTAGATGTTATTGGATTAGCCCAGAGGTTATTTCAGGGTCCATCAATCAGTGAGTTAGCAGTTATCAGATTAGCCCAGAGCTAATTTCAGGGTCCATCAATCAGTGAGTTAGCAGTGCCCTGACTCAGATTAGCTCAGAGGTTATTTCAGGATTTGATCTGTGAGTTAGTCATATCCTGACTTAGATCAGCCAAGAGGTTATTTAAGGGTTAAATTGATCTGTGAGTTAGCAATGCCCTGAGTTAGATCAGCCCAGAGATTGTTTCAGGGATCAATCAGTGAGTTAGCAATGCCCTGACTCAGCCCAGAGGTCCCCAGAGGTAGTTTCAAGAGCATTGACACCCACCAGATATCCTTCACAAGGACCTTCCATCTCTTTTCCTTCCTCACTGATAATCACTGGCTCAATACCAAAGAATGGAAATGTCTACAATTAAACATTTATCATTAGTACTTCAGCTATGATCTTCAGCTACCCTTCAAGGGCGGATCCAGKAATTTTTCTAGTGGGGGGTGCATCATCCAGGATTTCCATTTTAGGAGGGGTGCACCCTTTACTTACAAACTCAAACACCAATAATGGAGTAGATATCAGTTCATCTAAGGGGGGGGGGTGCGCTTTATTTGATATTTATCATATATACTTACTGCTGCACCTGGCCTCRTGGGCGTGGCTCCTGGCATAGGTGTGATTACATGACCCCCCTGAAATAAAAGAAAAATATTAATTTAGTCATAAAAGCTATTATTCAAATGATTTCTCATTARCTATGTCTTTATGATTTCAATTTTCGAGGAGTGGGCCTGCATAAAGAAATAATTTAAGGAATTTTCTAGAGGACCTAAAAATTTTGATGAGTTTGGACTTGAAAACTATATTTATCAGAAAGAATGCAAGATTACTACATTTTGGCATCGTCCAATATCATTATCAAGCAAAATATCTGGACGAAAAACATTTTAAAATCCAGGAGTTGTTCAAGAATTTTAGAAAAGTGTAAACAATATTTTAATTTCTATTTAAATTCTTCCATCTTCCATCAAAGAGTGAAAAGATAGAGCAGTTTTTGCATGCTGTTTTCTAGGATTTTAATTGCCTGATTTTATTCTCG